TCACACCAGAAGAAGGCTCAAAGGGTGAAACGTTGTGTTTTCTTTCTTCTCTTTTCAGCATGGAATAAACCATGCTCCTTTGCAGCCTACGCAAGCTGATGCAGCTACCCACCTTAAATACAGTAGTTCACTTAAGTATAACATTTAATTTGATTTGTTATTAACATTTTGGAGAAATTTCATACTGTTTGAGGATACAGTAGATCTACCATCAATAGTCTGATTTTGCATTCAGAAAAAAAGTACAATCTCCCTCAATGCAGCTGATTTTTTTGTTGTTGTGTTTCAGATCACATGAGGGAAATGAGAGTCCTGCATAACATTAAGCTGTTCAGATGTTTTCTTAGTTGTCAGTGATCTTTTTGTATTCTTCCTCTTGAGGAAATCTAAGAAAGCACTGTATTAAAAAAAACATATCTTACATAAATATTCTTCTAGGTTGTGGGCATAATAACTACTAACAATCTGAAGTGGGACTTTGTATTGCTCCATCTTAATCTGAACCGCTCTATCAGAATGATAATCTCTCTGAAAAAATAATTGGAAGGAAATTGGTTTCCCTTACTATGGAAGCTGCAATGAACTAGAAGTAAAAGTAAAAGTGTCAATTTTACCATGGTCATCCTCTGACTCAGAGGTCCCCACAATATGCTGCCAGAAACTACAATTTTTTATTTCAATATTTTCACAACCTGAATTGAAATTACTTGACTACTTTTTTCCCTAAGTTTCCCCCTCGGCACTTAAACCACTGTGGAGTAATAATGTCTGAACACAATGGTTCTAAGTATGGGGGGAAATCCTGGCCAGCTTTGAGAGGTTTCTAAGAACAGGCTCCTGAAGACTGAAGTTTTAAAGACAATTTAATTTCAGTGTTTTCAAGTCAATCTTTCTTCTGTGAGCAGTGTTTTAACAACCTTTTGCTTGGCCTTACAGTTTCCAAAATCTCTTCCTAAAAAACACAGCTGGCATTATTTTTTCCTTTCATGGAAGTGGGAAAAGGGAATTATTGCAGTTTAAATATAAACTAACTGCTGCCCTATGGCTGAAGGTTCCAGTAGTTTTGGTTTACCACAGGGAAACAGAGGGCTGCTGTTTGCATGAGCCTCTAGAATGAAGGAATGCACGCACACACACATACACACGCAAAAACAGGCATAGCTTTAGAAATTTGGTTTCTCTCTTTTGTGCATACCAGCAGTGAACATAGGCAAGCTGCCCAAAAAAGAGTGACTTGCTGGTTTACTTCTTCTAATTATATTCACCCACATACATAAAGAAAAGTAACCTCAACACTTGTGTATACTTCACCTACAGTGACTCTGTCTACCAACCTTACAAGTTACAGAGGTCAAATCAATAATTAAACCAATAATTCAGCTGAACTAAAGTCTCTTTAGTTAACTGAAAAGAAGACTCTAAAATTGCAATTATATTGTCATGTCATGAGGAAGCTTTTCAACAGGTACTGTAATAGTAATTTAAAAGCAAATAAAATGAATAAATATGACAGATCTATTGCTAAATTAACAGAAAATATATTTTATTCAGCAAGCAATTACATAATAATTGGCTAAAAATTATGTGTATTTTAACCTCATTTGTACCACATTTCTGGAGCAATAAAGGATAGGTAGGAGAAAAATTTAAATGCAGTATGTGGTGCCTGAATTAAAATTGTGCACGTTACGAATGCTATGTGGTTTGCAAATCTTAAAAAAATGTATACTGATGTCAGAAATGTGCCAAGAAGCTTTAAAAATGTCCCTACTGCAGTTAATGTTAATTGTTTTGTTTTAGCTCTGCAAATTTGCTCATCTATTGTTGCTTATTTTTAGATTTGTGTGAGTGAAAATGCTGTTCTAAGACAACTGATTAATTTGGTTATTTTTAGTTGTTTTCCCAAAGATCATAGTGACATACAGTCTAAGAATTAAGCTTAGTTTAGAAAGAAGCTGAGACGTAAATTATTCAGTGGGATTAGTGCACACATGTTACAGTATAAATTCTGCTGTTTACCAAAGCTAGTTAATTAATTTTTACAGAAAAATAATGTAAATGATGACCTTGCAGCACAATACAGAGATATATTAAACAAACATTAAAGAAAATATTATCTGCTAAAACTACTGAAACTATTGTTTGTACAAAATAGCCCTAGAAAAGTTACAACTGAGAGGAGGCCATTTATCTCATTTGGCTGATGGTTGTAACTTCATTTGATTAGAGGAACTCACACAGATGATTCTTGAAAGAAGCTGGCAAGTTTGGGTAACTTAGTCTAGACTCTCATAATCCTGTGTGTTAAAAAGTGCCTCATGTAGATTGCATTTCAATGTTTTTATTAACTTTTAAATATATACTGTATATCAGATTGAAACTACAGAATATCAGAAAATTAAAGAAAAAACAACTACCCTGAACATTGCT